CCTGCTTAACAGTAGTGAATCCTAAATCAAAACTGAACTACAACTATTTATATAACAAATTACAATGTATAAAGTACTAAATGGAATGCAGTTAAATCTTTTATAGAATACATTTATTGGATAAAAAGAATCAGTAAACTTTTAACTGAGATGTGCATTCTCACCAGCTGATATGAAGAGAAAATTCAAGTAAGTTTGTATCTTCTTAATAGAACTTTTCCCCTTACGATTAATGGGATGTACACAAGAGATTCTGTTTGGGAACAAGGGCAGCAATGGAGTATGCTCTGGATGTCCACAGGTACTCTATAACATCCCCACTTTTAGCAGGAAAGGCTGCTCTTAAAATTAAATAAAGCCATATTCCTTTTCAGTAGCCCACAGTTTTAAATGTGCTTTAGTCCTTGCTGTGGAATCTCACAGGGGCTCACTGTGCTGCAAAGCTCTGAATTTCTTTCTAGTCTTCTTTTTATTCAGTGTAAATATGCTAAATTGCTTCCTCTGAACCCTCTCAGTAGTTCCTGTATAGTCAAGGACAGCTGTTTTTATTTTACTGCCATTTGTCTCACAGTATGTAAAGTTGCCCCTGCTGTAGAAACATTAATCTAGCTTGTTTTCCTAGCTCTCCTCTTTCACCTTGCAGGGCTACATTTAGGCTCTGTATTGGGGAAGAAAAAAAAAAAAAAAAATACAATTCTTCACCTTGGGAAAAAAAAAATCAACCTGACAGGAGCCAAGAATAGAGATCTGTAAAGTGAGTGGCATGGAGAGGGTGGCAAAGGAGTAAATTCTTCAGCATTCTTTTTTTTTGATGAAAGAACTCAAGGGAATGATGGAAGTGGTAAGTAACAGGTTTGAAATAAATCAAGGTATCTATTCAGCCAATTGTAGAACTCCTTGCTGCAGGATGCTGTATATAAAACTACGTGGATTTAAAAGGTGCCTGAAAAATTCCTGAAAGGGAGAACATGGCCCTGTTCTCTTGGAAATTCACTGAACCAGAAACTGTTGGAGACTGTGAGAGCTGGTCGGACTGACCACATGCTTATCCTATTCTTTACATTATTGTAAGCACCAGTGCCTCATCCCTGGTGGGCATGTACCTGGGAGTGTTCTGCTGCTGCAAGGCTTGCTTTCAAAAATCAGGGAGAGTAAGTTGCTTGCTCAGCCTGTGTGAAGACTGTGCGAGAATGACCTGACTTCATGTGCTAGTTGGGTGGTTTATTTTCTGTTCTTCATCTTCCTAGGGCATGGGTGCTGAAACACAAATAACTGAAAAGGCTTCTAAAACAAATGATGGAAAATCTTCTATTTCTTTATAGTTCAAAAACTCAGAAAGCCAATTCAACTCTATCTTACTTGGAAAAGGGAGAAGGGAAGGGTGCATTTTGGGTATAGGGGATTCTAATTTAAGCTACTTGTTTCATTGCCTGGTCTTCCATAAAGTAGAGCATGAAGGTATGCTTTTAGCAGTGTTGTTCCCAGCACTGTCTATTAAATTAAGTTTGTAAATCAGAGTTGTCAGAGTAACCGGCAATATTTTTTGCATGCTCCCATTTTTTTTAGAGAGATACATACTGTTCAGTTTTCATTTGAGAGAATGTATTTTACATACTCACCTCACCTTATTATTGAAAGAATTGCAAATCACACTTAAAGCATGGATGCGTTCTGACAAACATAAAGTAAGTACGCTTACTTATTCATAACAGGGCTTAAATTAGTAGCCTGAGTGTCGGAAATATAATAGAGAAGTCCCTTACCTGTATGTGACAACAGAAATGCCCTGCAACTGTTAGAAAGAACAGAGATAGAAGGCAACCAGTGCTATTCAAGAACCTCTGCAGAAGACTGTTTATACTTTCTGATTCTTAAGTTGTTTGGAGAAGAAATACTTTTCTAGTGTTTACAAGCAGGGAGAAACTATCCACTGTAAAAGAATTTTGTGCCCTGCTCATAATTGTCACAACAGTTTATTTACATACCTGGTCAACTGCAATAAACTGCTGCTTAACTTCTTTGTTTCTGGTCTGTAAAATAGTGTTTTCTTTTTGTAAAGCCAAGATCTTTTCTATATTTCTGATAGGAGGTTTCTCAACATTAAAAGCACTTACCAAATCAGCTACCAGTTTCTTTATTGTGGTTGTCACACACTGGCATTAAATGAAGAATTACTTTTTGGCAGCCGCGTCTGTACACTCCATACAGCTCACACGGCAAAGCTTGTTAGACTTACAGCCCTCTATTAAAAGCAGATTATGTTTTCCTTGTCCTTAGTATATGAATCTTTTGAAGGTGTAAAAAGTGCAAGTTGCTGTCTTGACAATTTCCTATGGCTTAATTTCAAGAATAGTCTTCATTGGTATTATATTTTTCAAAGCCAGATTCCTTTATCAGATTTTAGACAACTGGTATAAACTAAAGGGAACGAAACATTCCTGACTCCAGGTAAACATAGCTTGAAAGAGACAAAGTGTTTTAGAGGAACTGGTCTGGTGACGTGTTCTGATCTGTTTAAGCAGATGAACTTTGACAACATCTGAGAGAATTAAAATCTTAAAAGGAAAGTAGCAAAATCACCGTGGCTGACTTTTTGCAAGCTATGCTAAGCCAAACATCAGGAAAAACCTCAGTGACTAAGGAAAAAGTCATTTGAAAGTTATCCTTTGCTTAGAACACGCCCTTGCATCTGTAATGTGCTGTCATAATGTGCTTATTTTGGTATCTGAAAGGTTCTCTTCTCAGGTCTCCCTTACTCTTTAATTGTAGAACCAGCAGTTTCTGATTTGAGAGATGTATACATTTAAAGTCTGACTTCAAGATGCTAATGACTATTGTATTTCTCTACTTTTGAAAGTAGAAATACAACTTCACTTCAGCACGTCTTGTAGCAGAGATGGGAGAGCACCCAACTTTCTCTTGGAAGCACTCAGTTGCCTGCATTCTTGGACGACATGAAAAATGAGAATCACTTACCAAAATATAGTGGTATGGATAAAGAAACAGTTTAATTTTATCCTTCTTTTTTTTTTTTTTACAATATAGTTCAAAGACAATCTCAGTTTCCCTATTATGTAGAGTCTAAATTAAACCTGTTAATATTTATTAGACAAATCAATGGTTTGCTTAGGCTAACTGAAGTTTTATGGTACCATTCAGGCACATGTGTGTACACAGTACTCATGTAAACAATAGCAAGGGAAAATACAAGCAGTGTTTTCACTTAAGCCTTATATAAAATCAGCTTAGTATAACAAGTCAGCTTTACAGTGCAAATCTGAATGAGAATAAACAGGATTAAAACTTCCCGAGTTTTGTTTTGAAGTGAAACTCTTAAAGCATAAGAGGAAGAAAAGAGGTTTAAAACTTTAATGCAGTCCTGAGCACCACATCGTTTTCTTCAATTTTGTCGAGGAAATGTAATTAGCAACACCAGTTACATGTTTTTGCCTGTCTCAGTCACCATGGCCAGTATAAGCATGCAGAGTGACTGTACAAAAGAACCACACCGTGGATGGTCTAACAGCAGCCTGTAGTGAGACTAAATACATTTTATTTTACTATTTATTCTACTACCTGCAGACTACAGTCCTCCTACCTGCAGTACACACTTCAAGGTATCTATCAAAATTGAGTAACCTGGTCTATACAGGGCAAGTTTATAGCTAAGTGTATAGACAGTAACTAAAGCTACTTTCACTCTGACAACATCTCATGCAATTAAATACAATGATAAACATGAGACAGAAAGAGCTGCTGAAGAATACAGCTGTTGAAGGACTTAAGCTTAGTCTCTCTATTTTCTCATTGTTTAAATTCCCTTTACATCCAGGTGATACAGTTGCTTGAGGTGTGCTTGATTCATATAAAGAAAAATAGTTTAAGGCATGTTTAGTATATTATGAAAAAACACTTATTAAAAATAGGTGGACTCCCTTCTTTCCAAGTAAGTATAATGTAGAAAACAAAGTGTAGATTACAGAAACTAGCTGAGTTCGCCCATTCTGACCTGCTTAAAGAAATAGAGGGCCCCTGACAACCTCAGAGAGAAACAACCAGCTAACTTCTTAAACAGCTAAGCAAAATTAATTTAACGCAAGAACACTGCTAGTGCTTTTAGACCCTGTGTTCATGTACGCTTAGCAGTACATCTGCTATATTCGTCTCTAAAACATTTAATTTATCATTCTAGACATAACACAATTAAGCAGCACTCATGGAAATTGTCAGTTATTGCAAATTTGCAAATGCAACTTGAAATTAACATCTGATAGGGAACAGAAGCATGAATCCAAATCTTTCAGTCAAAGAATATAATTCAGGTGAATAAAGAAAAACACGTTAACGTATGTTGAAAACATGATTAACTCTTGCAAAGAATCGGGTTCAGTATTTCAGGTACTTAGAATGTTTTTACTAGGAACACAAGCAGGGACCATGCTACAGTGTTATGTAGTGTAACATGAGTATTTACGTGAGGTATTAATCTGTAAGCAGTTGCCATAAATATACATAGGCATACGCCATTGAGTTTTCGGCCACAGTTACTCTTTAGGAAGTTGTGGACTGGAGAACAGCAGGAGTCTGCCTTAACAGGACAGAACCTGTCCCCTGCTGTACCCAAGCCCCTACTGTTAACAAGTCCAGAAAGCATGTTAGATGTATATCGAGAATATATATATGTTCAATAGCATAGTGAAATTGTACTTTTGGTATTACTAATACTATATCTCCTATTAGGATTTGGATATACACATACAGGAAGATGCACATCCAAAAGTAACTATTCAAAGCCATCTTAAAAAAAATAAAAGTTAAATTAGGAATAAGCTACATTGCAAGAAGCTTCCTGCAGAATTATATATTTAACGTGATAGTCTTTGAACTAAGACTTAATAACTACTGCATTAAAAATGGCTTCCTGTGGAATCCTAATCTCTTTTCTCCCACCCAATCAGACACATCTTCAGGATTGTGATTCAATGATTGTTTAGCAGCAATTTTAGAGAACTGTAAATTCTTTTATTAACAGGCATTATAAACAGATACTACTACTTTTTATTTAAAAACCATGAGTGCCACATTGATGAATATACAGCTCATGAATAACTTAAAGTATTTCCCATATTAAAAGGCAATGCACACAGCATACAAAAAGTATACTAAACAAAGCTATGAGGATACATGATTGAAGTGTCTAAAATGATATATACAGTACATAATGTTTTGTGTATATTCAGTACAGGCTTCTGTACTGCCATTCCCATCATGCCTCACTCTCCCCTGACACTGAATTTTGCACTTCTTCTTCCAAAATTGGTACAATCAGGTTATCCTTGGACATCAAATTATACTTCATCACAAATTTAGTGAACCGGTGACACAAGAAAGTTTCATTCTGGAGATGAAAGAAGGGAAAAACACAATATATACGAAGGAATATTTTAAATAATTAAGGAGAACATACAAAAAATACCCTGCTTATATGTAATTGCCTCATTAGATTTACAAGCCTTAGAAAGAAATAGTAATGCTTAAATGGTGTATTTAATGCTAAATTTGTCAATGCAATTGACAAAACCCTACTGAATTTCAAGCTTAAGTCACAGTACAATTCAACAGCACTTGGACAAGAATATATTCAAATATCAATGTAGTCCTGATCCACTCTCCAGAAGAGAATTCTAAGGTATTGTGAAACTCCTCTTACACACACTATCCCCAACAGACCAGGGAACAACTGTTCCATAGCTTTTCCAGCAAGCTAAAGTGGGATTTGGCAAAGGTTTCCTTTTACATTCAGCTAGATCCCTTACCTCCTTTCCATCTATTAATTTCTACTTTTCCATTGAAAAAAAAAAAAAGTTGGAAGTTACTGGAGGTGCGCAAGCTGCCACCAGTTATACTGCTTCTTTGCAGTTTTACAATTATGATTCCTTAACTGCTGTGTAATGTATACAAAACAGGAAACATATATACATAAGCAGTACTAATTACACCAAGTGCTTGAATACATTCAGGAATCTTTAAAACAAGGTGAATTTGAGTTATTTGTACAAAAACTCCCTCGAGTTCTGACCTTTTATCCAAATGAAGGAAACCATAACTGGGTAATCGAACTATAAAAATTAATTTTAACATAGCATTTCAGTTCTTCTAAAACTGTAATCTATTATAATCAATACTTCACCTGAATGCAGCTCTTCTGGCAGGATTAAAAGAAAATGTGTAATATAATTACATCACAGCTATAACTTCAGAAAATGCCCTTCTTTCAAGATATATTTGAAACTACTTACTTCATATTCATCAAATATCTGCCGGTGATGAAAATAAGCGTGTGAAAATATTCTGTAAATCCTTCGGCACACTGATCCTAATTTGGCTACAGAAGATTCCTTTATGCTAACCCTGTAAGCACCAGGAGAAAGGTTACAAAACAATCCTACCATAATGGCTACTGAGATACATGCTGACATGAATTCCAGTTGTTAAACTATACTATACAATTGCATATGAAATTAATAGACTTAAGCATTGCAGGTATCTCTTTCTGCAATTGCTTATTTTTGCAAGGAAAACAAAAATGTTGGTGCATACTCCACATTTAAAAATTGTACTCTGACTACAAAAGTTTTGCCTGTAGTTAAACATCAGTGATTCTGGTGAGGGCTGAATTTCTGGTTTCCAGCATTGATGGGCAAAGGGAAAAAGACTTCAGTTGTACCTCCTTACCAATTCCTAGGGAATCACAGTTTTGACTTCTCCAGTTAAGTTTCCATGATGCACCATGTGGGCTGCCCGTTCAATACACTCAGCCTCTGTCTTCTGTGGTCACCGATGTCCCACAGTAGATTGGTGTTGGCTTCTGGAGGCTTTCAGGGCCATACTGTTTAAGTCCTCTGAGTCACTGCATCTCTCTAAAGGCCATCCTGTTATTTAGGTTGGCACTACTCCAGTGGAAGCCCCATAACACCAAGAGATGCTAGTAAAACAGTTTCCACCCTAAAAGCACCTGTTAGCTCCAGTAAATGGCAAACTACTTGAATAGGTAGGAATTCTTCCATGGCTTAAAAGTGACAAGAGCTCTACCAACAAGTGACACATGCTGCAGGGCTTCTGGTATTTCCAGTAATTGTCCATGAAAAATGCATTATGCATTTCCATGTGCTTTGTTAGTGTTTAGGTGCCACCCCCTCCCTCTCTCCCTCCTCCCAAAAGAAAGCATTTTTACCTGCTGGGAAAATACTTATTGCTATTCAGAAGACATGCAGCTCCATCAAGTGTGTGTCTGGTGTAGTCTATAGCAGGACACTACAAAAATAGACAGTGAGTGAGCACATGTGTAAGTGCACGCATGAGACTGTCATATAACTTGTTTATAGAAACACATTTTAATTATGTTTCCTGATGCTTTTAACCTCACTGGTCATTTTTATTCCCAGAAGTTTCACAGAGCTTCTCTGAAGGTCAAACTACATTTCCTCCTTAAGTGAGACATTTGTTTTCTGTGTTTCACAACCCATGTAAATTATTTCAAGAAAAAGGTTACTATGGAAATGTGATTATGCACAAGTAGTGAATTTTATGCATCTCCTTAAGTAAAGCTGTATAATAAGAATACATACTGAAAGTACACTGAAAGACTACAATTACCTCACAGTTCATGTGTTTCCCACATAGTCAAGTTGCAAGACTTTTTCTTTTACAGCATAAATTAACACCTTATCAAAAAAAAAAAACAACCAAAAAAATACCAACCCCAAAACAAAAACAAACCTGCACCTAAGTATATCAGTGCTTTTTACCTTGGCAAGAAAAACAGAATCATTAGTGTAGCTAAGTGTATAAGAAGCCAAGCCCTGGCTCTGCAGTCAAGTACACATAGACAAGAAAGAAGAAAAGTAAAGATGAACTGAGACAGGCTGAAAGCAGGAATTTTTTTGAATGTCTGTCCGTTTTACTGTTCCCCAATTTCAGGAAGAAGACACTTCAGTTCACATTTTTGTCAGCATTCAGGGCTGCATCACCCACTCTCTGACCATTAGTTGACAGCAATTATCGACATGGAAAACAGTAGATGTATGATGTTTGTTTGGAGATAAAAGCCTGAAGTTCTCCAGTCTACCTGAAAAAAAACAGGCTTACTACATGCTGATATACTGAGTGGTGATGAGGGTTAAAGGAGGGAGAGTGACAAAGCTAAATCAAGGCGTCTCAGGAAATTAACAAAAAGAAAAAAAAAAAACAACAAAAGAAAAAACAAAACCAAAGCTTACAGGGCAAAAAGGATAACCGTAAGAAGAACCAATACTCTAAGAACCTTATTCTCGACGGTGAAATACAAACATAAATCTGAGAGACTGTACTATAACTATAGCCAATAGCAACAGAGACTTTCTGAAGGCAAAAAAGAAAAAAAAAAAGACATATCAAGTTCTTCAATATGAGATCTGAACAAAGTTTACAGTGATTGGGACACTCAGGTAGACAAGCTACTGCCATGCTGATAATCTATTCAACATAAAGTGTTTTTATGACTCCGCTGCTTCTTAGGAGTAACTTCCCTAAGAATGTGCACATGCCGTCACTTTCAGAGTGTCAGGCTTATATGCCTAGTGCTATGGATGGAAGCCAAAGTTTGAAGAGGACAGCCAATTCTCAGCATGTACTCTTCTTTCAATTAAACAAAGACCTTTCTCCATTGAGTTTCAGGCTGTCTCAGCACAAATTAAGAGAGAAAAGAGGGTAATGTGCTAAGTCTCTAATACTGTGGTAAAAAGCAGCTCCTTCCTACCTCATCACATTCTTTTGTAAGCCACTACAGAATGGGAAAGAAGGAAACCTCAAGTGATATCCTTAACCCACATAAGCTCTCAGTTTGACTAAGAAGCCAGCTATAATGGTCTCCCCATGAACATATAAACTGTGAAAGAAAATCCTAGATCAGTGGGGTCAGTTTTCCAAAATGCATCCATACCTCTTTGGGAGTTTTATGAGCTGCACAAAGAAAAATCCATTGTTCAGTTGCTGTCATCTGAGTACATGTGTCTGGGTGACATTCACTCTGTTAAAACAATTGTTCAGTTATGAAAACCACCCAACAGCAAAAATGAGCTGATCTTTTCAAATCACTTTCTTGCCCTGTCCCCCACCAAAAAGGGTTATTTGCCGTAAGTCTTTAAAACCCTAAAAGGCTCTTACCTCAAACCACTGCTTAAGTCTATGTGTGTAGCTTTAGGAAAAGAAAGCTCTGCAAACTCTGCATCTTATAATACAAAAAAAAGTCTCCTGTTTTACCTCAAACCAGGACAAATACAAAAATATCAAGAAAAGAATTACCTGAAGCTTGACAGCTAGTCCATTGAGCTCAAGGCAGAATTGTCTAAAAAAATTTAAACACAGAAGCATCAAAATCAACCATTGGTTTTCCCACTGGAAGCATCTAATCCGAAACAAGGTTATACATTCTGATCTTCACAAATCTCTTAATGGTTTTGGAAATGACGATAGTAAAGTGGAAAAAATACATCAGAACATGAAAAAAAATCATATTTAAAGAATACCACCAAATAATTTCAGCTGATGTCACACCTAAAAGGCAATAGGCTAGGAATTAAGACACTATAAAAGCACTACGAGTTGAGAGAAACAGAATTCACGCCAGTATTTTTTTTTCACTCAGAAAAACAATTATATTTTAAGTCTTACCTGACAGTAGAGGCTGAGCTTAACAAATAACTTAGTGGAAGTGTTTAAGATACCAACTTTGTTATGGAACAAAGTGCTATGTCACAAATACAGATTTTTTTTAAAAAAAAACAAAAAAAGCACTTCAAGAAAACTAATTTCTTAATGAAGAGTAAGTTTTAACTTCGTATAGCTGGATCATTCCATCCTTCTAAGATATACTTCCTCCAGATCAATTAAGTGGCTCAAATCCCATGACAATTCATGAACAGAGCAGGACTTCTAGAAATAATGCTTTCACTTGCATGAACCTGAAAGTGCATTCTTTAACTTAAGAGAATTCACCCCTCCATCCTACAAGAAAAATCTGAATAAATTTTCCAAAAGTGACAAGTGTTTAGCAACAAGTCACTTCTATGAATCTACAAAGATTTCCGGTGTATGTGAAAAGACAGAGGAAATTCTTAAAATGTGTCATTTGCAATTGTATGTATACACTTTTTCCTCTTTTAAGGATTCCCCTCATCTATTGGAACTATTGCAGACCAGAGGAGAGAAAAAGAAAACAGGAAGCAAAAGCTCAGGCTATATAAATCTAGGAGCAGTTTAGAACTATTCTTATTCCTGACAGTATATTTGATAAAGCTAGAAGACACAAGAAAAAAAAAAAATTAGGACACAAGGATACTAAAGTAATGCCAGGATAAAAGGATTACTACGTATGTATTAAGAGGGTGTAAACCTACACTACAACTGAAAAATACTTTCAGGCACAAACTGCCTAGGCTGAACATATTTATTATACTGCATAAAACAGAGAGAATGATAAAAAAAATTGAGTTTCCTTACAACTAGAAAAAGAACTGTAAGACACAGGTACACTTGTTTTCCCAGATAAAGCCTGTTTTCCTGCAAGTTCCAGAAGAAGCGCTGGGAGCATCTGGAAATCACACTGCCAATTAGTGGAGATGAAGAACTGATGATACTAGGAGAAAATGCTATGGAAATTCATGACTATATTTTCATATTCAAAACATGCTAGTACAACTTTTGAAGTGAGGTACTTTTCTTAAAAAAACATCAAAAATGCTAGATCAGAGTGCATCATAAATCTTTAGAAAGAACAAGGAATTCAGAAAATATTACCAACATATAAAAATATTTAATAGTAGAAACTTCAAGTTTCATTTCAGTTACTTTTGATCTGTCCTATTCAAAAAGACTCACTACCACTATCAATGAACAAAACTTAAGAATCAGGACGCTATGTTGACAAAAGATGGATTCTTACCTTAAATGTTCATACTTCCACACACCTTCATCCTGGCCTTCAGGAGGTTCAAGGATCTTATCGATGTTGGAACAGTCTGCCCTTATGTTTTGCTGAATATACTAGGAGGGGAGAAAAAAAAACAAATCTAGATCTTGTTATAATTATAGCAAGACAGTATATTTAGGACATCACATCTTTGAGGGACTTTTTCTCTTTACCTAAGAAGCGACTGATGGACTAAAAAGTTAAAAAGCAGATGGGCAGGGTAAGAAAATTGGTATAAAAACCACCAGATCTGAAAAATGCCTTTCCTCTATTAGAAAAGGTAAAAGAATGGGTAAATTTTACAGTTTTTTTACATCCTTCTCAAAACAAAAGAACCTCGCAGGCAACCCCACCATTTTTTAAAATCTGATTTGTTTAAACCAGACATGGGAATTCTGCATACACAATTAACAATTACAATTTTTTTAATATACGTAGTGTGCTTATGAATTTCACTCCTGCGCCACAACATTCTAAGCAGATAAATAGCATGCCCTGTTCCTTGGGTTTTTTTACCAAAATATAAAAC